TGCCTGTAGATAGATAAAGACGTTGTAGCCCTCTGATAGTTGGGACAAGTCTTCTACAATATTATATCGGAATCAAATCTAGCCTCTCACTAAGCAATCTCATGAATTATTTCCAATGTCTGTGATAACAGACATACATATACAAAGTCGACAACAAGTTTAAAAGTCGAAAAGTTTCCTTGATGCCATTGAACACTACGGTATTCGCATTGTTTACAGGGCTGGCAAGCCAAATTTACTCGCTAATCATCTCTCACGACCCCCGGATAAGCCTTCTATTGCTGATGCCTTTCCAGTCGTTGACGAAATGAAAGGAGGTGACGTTGACCTCGTCTGTCACCCTCACCAACTTGACCGTATTGACTTGTGTCACGGTTTCATTACAAAATGCATGAGCGATCTTGTAGGTACAATATTTTAATTATAATTCTCTGAAGAGAGAATTCCTGTACTTAATGACTACCTATATATATACAGTCTGAAAGATCCCTCCTCGATAAGGTTCTCTCTATTACTTGACAGCTTAGAATCTCCGATGATCACCTAGGAGATCCTTGATACTCCTGTAACTCTCACGATCTCTCAGTATGTTTCAATAAGGCTCAATAAGAATCATCCCAGTTCCCTGTCATCCAAGATGTTTCTAGGAACCTCCCTTCGTATAATTGCCTGCGCAAGACAGCGTAGGCTACAGGAGCCCTAAGGCTTGACAGCCGTTACAACTTGCAAGCCATCTTCGAGTTCTTCCAGCACGGAACTGAGCTACCATTGGCAATCGAGGCGGGATGGGCCCGTAAGCATTTTAAAGTTCATGATCAAACATTGCATAAGGTGGCTAAATATCGTCGCGTCCCTGGCGATCCACCGCACCCTCTCGGCCTATCACACAATGCCATGGCCCTCCGCGTTCCGGAATTTGACGAACTCGTCAAAACTATAAATTCGATTCACCATGAGTACGGCCATGCTACTGTTGGTACTGTCACCTGACAGGCTTCACACGTGCTATGGCACCCGGAACTTGTGCGTGCTGCACAACAGATTATAGCTGAATGTCGAGAGTGTCAATTGATAAAGAAGCCTAGTCAGATTCTTCCGGACTTGAAACCCGACATTCCCCCTCCGCCATTATTTCGATGGGCTATTGACTTCACTACCGTGGCTGGCCACAATATATTGGTTGCCGTTGAGTATGCCACGGGCTTTGTAGAGACTGACGTGACAGAAAATCATCGATTTTTGAGTACAACTCCGATCCTAAAGCGCATCGTCTAAGAGTACGGAACTCCACGAGAGTGGATCTCTGACAATGCAGGTTGTTTCAACGGCCACGAGGCACAAGCCTGGCATAAGGCACACAACTCTCAAGTGTTTCCAGTTACTCCAATCCGAGCTCTAGGAAATGGCATGGTGGAGAAAGTTAACCACGCTTTGAGGCTGATAATTCTCCGCGAAATGCAACAGAAGCTGGAAATAGATATCAAGATGGCCGTGGAAAAGGCTACAAGAATTTATAAGCGCACTCCAAAACCTTCTGGATATTCGCCTTTCTTTCTGCTATTTGGAACAGCACCTCCAGATCAAGTAAGAGAGGACGCACTCGCTGTTTATACCCGAGATTCTACCGAAGATGAACAAATTCAGTTTGACAAAGATCTCGTCCGCCAACATGAGGCATCCTTAGCAAGGCAGCGAGCTAATGGCTTAAAAGCCTCGCGCGATCAAACTTGAGCTTATTTGTAGAAGAGGAAGGCACTGATTCGAACATTCGCCCCAGGTGACTGGGTCCTCCGAGTACGTCAACGTCAAGGCAAGCATGAGCCCTTTTACGACGGTCCATGGGCAATTGCCAGTTGCTACAACGGAAACGTCTATACAATAAGGGGCCCTGGCGGAATAACTCTTCCTTCCAAACGCAACGGAACAAATCTTTTGCCAGCATACTCTGCTGACGGACACCCTGTGAGAAGCTTCTGGTATGTGTGTGTGTGTGTGTGTGTGTGTGTGTTTTATTGTACTACTTGAGTCTATGACTATCTAGCACATTGGGCTCCTCTCTGACCCAGGCCACACCTTGTACAGTGCTCCTATCCTCATTTGTTACTTGAAAGATCATTGATATATTGCCCTTGATGAATAGCCATTCAGCTCAGTATTTACCCGTGGAATTCCGCCACCTTTTCCACGGAACCTTCTACCCAAAAAAATTAAAAATGGTAGCAATGGAAACTGCGTGCGCGGGAAAAAGTCTCAAAAAACCTGCAGCCCCAGCCAGGCGAGGCCTAGACACCGGGACCACATGAGGTGCGCATATTCATCTATATCTCCCTTCTTTGTAACAGTCGAGGCCGACTTGATCCAATCAGCCATCTCCGTATCGGGTGCTGGGTACGCTCCGGAAACTCATCGGATGGCTTTTCCTCCTTGATCAAGGGTGAGTGACGAGTAGGGCTCCGACCCTACCATCTGATCTAATCGTGGTTAGCTTCATGATAATGGTGATAGGGGAATGTGTTGAGAGATGAAGACGATACAGACCGCGAAAGCGATTGGGAATCCTCTTCGAAGTGAGGACTTTGTTACTCAATCTCGGCTCTGCAGACTCTACAGTGAGAGCTGGAGGTTCGTAGGGGACACCGCTGACAGGTGTTGAGAATAGTCCCCCCGAAGCTTCTGGTATGCCAGCAAGAAAATGTTAGAGCAGGATCGCAAGCGGATATCAGCCAATGCCGGTTTGGGTTAATCAGCCAGAAAGAATGAAAATAATGCTGCTTAATGAAAGAACAACTGATAAACAATATTATGGATTTCTATTTATAAATATATAATTTTCTCACACTGTGGGTAACTGATGACTATTAGGGGCAATGGTCTGACAAGGGGGATAATTGTGGATCCAAAGTAGGTGCCTTTCATGTATCCAGGCACCTACTGCACAGACCATATCGAGCTGTAATTTAAGACTATTTGATATAGATTAGTTATTCTTTAATAATATTTATGTTATCAATATTCTATCTTCAGAATTGTTGGTACAATACGGTATACGCGCGTAACTAAAAGAAAATAAATAGATTCAATAAAACGATACAATAACATTCACATATATTCATTCTATCTATCTGTTCTAATTCTCTTGGTGTCATGTAAGAATGCCAAGAGAATATTACGTAAGTTGCACTACTGCTACAATAGGTTAATACATATTCCACTTATCACTAGAGTGCACGTGACTACTGTTCCAACAAGAATCCACTGTATCAGACACTTAATTGGTTGAGGATCTAATTGCCTCGCGATACCCGAAATTCTGAAAATTGGGAAGACACACCACTGTCCGGGAGGGGCTTTGAAGAGGCCTGGCCAAACCTCGTGGGTACGTTTCTTTTGACACCGCGAAAAACCGCATCAAAGCAGAGGTATGGACGGCCATGAAAGATTACTGGGACCAATATGCCCCATTTTCCGATAGGGGGAGCTTTCCATCGACTCATACTCTCGTCACCCCGAGGAACTCTCACTAGCCAGACCATTTCTCTCTAGACTTTACGCTGCCCGCCAAGGGCATGGTGACTTTGCAGAGTACCACCGCCGTTTCGGTCACGAGGGCACCAAGCTTCATTGTGGCTGCGGACCGCTCAAAGCCCCATTACACTTCCTAGAGTGCCACCTAGACACCCACAGAACCGGCTGAGCTCTAGCATCTTCAAGGGACCGGAAGAAATATTTGCTAGGAAGCTGGGAAGGGGTCCTTAGTGTAGCAAAGTGGCTTTCTCTTCCTGAGTTTTAAATGTGGACCTGCCCTAGAAATCCCAGAGAAGGGATAAATAGGTCTTAAACTCGGCCTCAACTTGGAGGCTTGCGTTATGGATGGATCTATTATCAGTCTCCCGAGAGTGGGTGTAATACATCAAAGGAGTAAAGAGCCTCGGCGACTAGCTGCAAAGGTGTAGGTGCTACGCTACACACAATCATGTAATTAGAGAATTTCTCTGCAAACCTAGTTGGGAAGTAGTAAGGGCGAAGCCACCAGGGCAGTAGGCACTGGTGTCCACGCCTCTGGTTAGTTTAATAGGTAGTTGGGACCTAAGTGAAGCTCGGCGCGCAGACGGTCGAAAAATAGAAAACAAATAACAACGACCGAGCAGGGCACAGCGCGTACTAATGAGGTTTCTTGTGCACGTTCGTAAGAATAAAATGATAAATGTTGACTGTGAGATTCACGGATGTCTCGTGGCTCCGACTACGACAATCTATCTGTGTTTAGAGCTTGAGAGTAGGGGTAAACTTGTATTCCTATTAACGTTCTAAGTCCTTAAATACATGAAATCCTCTACAATCCAGATAATGTAACGATCAATGATACATGACAAGTAAAGTATCAGAATACAGTAGGGGAGGAGTGAGGTGCCTAGCCGCCCGGATTGTGACCAAAGAATGCGAGGGCTGCATTCTTGATGGAAGCTCCAACTCGGCGTTTCGCTCGGACTTGGAATTCAGGATCCTCAACAATGCCGGCAGGAGTTTCCGTCGGATGAAGGAATGAAGACAAGAGGCTTATTCTCATATGGTAATTGGCTTAACAAAACTGACTCTTCATTCCATGGATAAATTAAGGTCGCTTGAGGCAGATAATCAGCGATCAAGGAGCTCTTTAGTCAGAGCCCGGCTCCTTCATTTCTTCGACACCATACGCCATGGAATAGGCCCCACACGCTGCTGCTTCCATTAATTCAAGTAGAGAGGTAGATGTGCTGAATGTAATACTCTCCAGAAGTATATCTACATCAAGGCTTTGGTCTAGTCAAGAGACACTATCAAGAGTTTGGACAAACACTTCTTTGACTCTCGCCAACATAATGTTTGCAGAAGTGTGACAAAAACGAGTTATTAATCAAGACTCACAACTATTGTTACCTCTCTACTTAGTCTTGAACTTCATATCGGACAGCTTGGTGTCCCGAGTACACAATTCACATCCGCGGAACTACACTCTTGAAATGCAGCTTCTCAGCGCTACTAGAACCGCGGCGTTGGCCGGTCTATTACTACAGCTACTAACCGCTCATGGATACCCACATTATCAATGTGAACATGGCGAACTCTTAAGTGTGCAAGAGATTATAGACCTTTCAGTGAATGTTAAGACTAGACATAACCAGGACGACCATCCAGCTATTCCCTCGGGCCAACCATGTAAATCGTATACCATCTCTGGTCCAGCGGGTCCATATGGTTGGTTTTCCCAACTATCCGATATTTGCCTTATTAATTGTTCGTCTCTAGACGAAACTTTACTATATTACCTAATCCAAGTATATGGGCAACCTCCAAAAATCCAATTCTCTCAAAAAACAGAAAATGGATGGAAACAGTGTAGCATAATAAATCTTGTTTAACTACCTCTAAATTTCCCCAATCATCTGCAATTAATGTAGGACCTACCAGTGGAAACTTGCAAACAGCATACTCGCAACGGCGTCAAGCTGAAGTCGCTCCATTTGAACATGGCCAGCTATTACCGCTCTCTTCTCCAGAGATTCTCCACATGTTAATGAATTCTATCATTCCACGCCAACAAGATTGAATCGCACAGTGGTCGTGTTGATGAATGCCTAGATCTCAGTCGGTTGTCGAGTATATCAGTATGCATGACGGAAGACTCGATGAAACAGTATAGAATCTCATAAACTGAATAATGCCGGCATAAACGTTGCACAGTCTAATGTAAATTTTGATGCTTGTCTATTCTCAGTCTTTGGCGTGATAAAATACGTAGGTCTTCCCTGCCAACAGGCCAATTACGCTAATGCGAGTGCTACCTCTCCTCCCATACTTCCCATGCATGCCGGCAAAGACGAATTCTTCACCTTCCAGTGGTGCCGGTGTAATCGCTCAGTATGCTCTGCATATCTGGGATAGCCAAGAAGAATCGCATCCGAATCGAAGTCGAAAGCAAACACATGTATATCTCCATTTGACGACTTCTCAACCATGCAGCACTCATCATTATCTTCTGAGTCCTCAACCCCGATCTAAGCACATATCAACTCGCCTCGCCGACCAACAGAGGCGTCACCCTAACTGCAAACAGGAGCTTGCCTCATTCATTACCGGCCATCACTCTCTACATATTTACGACGCTATTTATACCCGCAAGGAGGAAATCAAGTCGAAAAATACAAAGTTGGGGTCTTGGTTTATGGGGGACTGCTGCTCTAATGGGGTTATACATCTTGAGGAAGAACAGGCAGCTGAGATGTGGAGCGAGAGGAGAAAGAAGACTCTGAAGACTGTGTTGGGACTGACATTTTCGAGGAGTTTCCAACTTTGGATTTTTTGTGGGCGCCAAGACCAAGATTTCGGCTAATTAGCCAGGAGGGCTTCTTTTGTCGATGAGTCAACGGCACTCCCCAGCGCCCTGGACGGTACAAAAGAAGTTAGGCTAAGCTACTATACAGCAATCACGCTCTGTCAAGACTTTTCTGACATTTCAGCACGACCTTCGGGAAGGAGTTGGAAGGAGGCTAGAAAGGCAGAGGGTGAATTTCCCGAGGTACACACAAGTCTGCAGCGCCCAGCTGGCCGGCCTCTTCGAACGCTTCAGAAGGGGCAATATGTCTTCGGATTTATTCCTAATGTCGGTATTAGAAGAGCCCCGCACCCAGTGGTTTTTGCGAATTTTCCCGGCTGCCATACACCCGCAAATGGCCATCGTTTCGTTGGCTGGAGAGGGGAGATAATGAAGGGCAAAGGGCTCCTCTTAGTGTATGATCGAATGAGGACTTGTGAGGGGTGGTACTGTTTGAGCGGAGCTCTATGGGAGGCATAGGAGGGGATATACTACTGGTATAGGTATCCTTGGCCTGTAGGCAGAGAGGACCTGCATGTCCTACATAGTCATAGACTCAGACAGGACAATAAAATGAATTAATAATAACTTCCCATGCAGCTCCCTTTTGATACAGCAACCCCTCACTAGTGCCAATTCGATCATACATTCAGATTCGTCTTCAGCCCATTTCCACTTCTCTCCTCTCCAGCTTCAGAAACAGTAGCCAGGCGCGCGTCCATGACTTTTGTGGATAACGGCATAAGCTTAATATACCGGACGCTCCCAGTCCCGGCATCAGGGCTTCATCCAAAAGCCTAGTTTCAAAATGACTCAGTCTAAGAAAAGAAGTTGATGTAATTTCTCAGGCTATGTCTCATCTCCATGTATATACACCAGATTTTCCTAGTTCCCCCCATTCGACCCTCTGTCCTCAGCCTAGACTACTTCATTTGTGAATACTTTGACAATACGGCGTCCACTTCAGGAAGTGATGACATCTAATCTCTATCATCGGAGTTCCCGGGTCAATTCCGTCTCGCTTCCCGCCTTTCCACTGACTCCGTTACAGTACTCGGGTGAACAAGACCTCTTGAGTCCACCAGACTAAATCACCGTAAATTCACAAACATGAAAGCTAAACAATAGGAAATCCCCGTCAACACTTAGTCTCGACGCCCACACAAGTCAGTGGTGCCCCCTACGAACTTCCAGCTCTCACTGTAGTGTCTGTAGAGGCAAAATTGAGTAAAACATCACTCACTTTGACGAGGATTCCCAATCGCTCTCGCCGTCTGTAGCGTCTTCTCTCAACACAAACCCATATCAAAATTGTCATGGAGCTAACCACCATGAGATCAGATGGTAGGGTCGGAGGCCAACTTATCGTGAACCCTTATCATGGAGGAAAAGCCCTCCTGTGGCTTCTGGTTGGTCGGTTTATGATGACAATGATTTCACGCAGGTGTCTCGTGGTTCCGACTAACCAAAAATGTAATGTGAGAAGAGCTTGAGACTAATAATACGTGAATTCAATTCTTCAACACAGCATCGCCAGCTTATTTAGATATCCCCCCGCACCACGTGAGCCGACCAACAGCGCAAAATATGCACCGTCGCATTTCCATGCATTGGGACCCACAATCCCATGAGCTTCTGGAGCCTACTTAGCATCCGATACAGTGAGGGGGGATCGGGCCAACTTGGCCTTTAATGTTACTAGAAGGGATGATATAGATGAATATGCGCACCTCATGTGGTCCCAGTGTCCAGGCCTCACAAGGCTGAGACTGTAGGCTTTTGAAGACTTTTCCACGCGCTCTAAATATCCATTGCTAACTTTTGAAATTTTTTGGGCACAAGGTTCAGTGGAATAGGTGGATAAATTCGACTGGTAAATACTGAGCTGAATGGCTATTCCTTGCTAGCATTCTATGAAAGATATTTTAAGGTAACAAAAGAAAATAGGAGCCCTATACAAAGTATAGCCTGGGTCAGAGAGGTGTCTAATGTGTTTGATAGTCATAGCCTCGAGTTTGTGACAGTCGGGGGGAAGTCATCGAGTTGGCTTGAGACGCACAATCAATAGTTTACCATTCTTCCGAGGAGAGAAGAAGAAGGTAAAAGAAGGGCCACTTCATACCCGCACTCTCCCACAAGACGCGGCCTGTATCTATGCCTAGGATCGGACAGGTGTACCTGTGGACAGTCTTGGCTCCGGCAATAGTGTTAACTCCCGACGCTCGCCCTACCACTCGGCTATCTTTCCATCGGTTTCGCCGTGCTGTTAACCTCTGCAATACATCTTCCACCGCACAGTTCTCTAATTATGCCATTCCCCGCGCTTGTGCGAGTGCTCGCTAGTGGTCCGAGCGGTAGAGTGGGTTTTCCATATCTGACGTCCCGGGGGCTGGAAATGCTTCCCCCTTTGGCCAATGCAAGCTACAGGCTTCACTGTCGCATCACCAGCCGTTAAAAAGCAGCACTATTTCCTTTGACAAAAGAGGTGTCGGGAACATCTGCCCAGTAAACTGCCTGGTTCGGCGAAGACTGTCCACGTACCCATGGCTCGACTTACATCATTCTGTATAACAATAACAGGAGTACTTTGGAGGATCAGTCATTTGTCAAGTTAATGGTTCAAGAGGTCGATGAGTCGAAATGTCAAGAGTTCAGATGTTCAGTAGATCAATTTCCAAAGGTATTCAAGATTATCAAAAAGGTTCCTAAGATACAAGACCATAATCTGCCGATCCATAGTCATCCCGATTACCCATTGTACATTCCTCTCTATTGTTCTCGAACTTTCCAGTATACATTCATATAGAATAGAATAGTCTAGACAAGTACAGAACAGAACAGATTAGAATGGAATAGAGTATAATGTCTCACATATCTTCGTACATAGTTCCTATTGTTGAAGAATAGGTCCTTGGTCCGTGACACTGTATTACTGTAAACCTTCCTAAATGTATTCTCTACGATTAAAGTTATGGGCACAAACGGGTTGAATCTCTACCTTGGAGGGATGCTGTTTGTGTTCGTACAACACCAACGTAGATATCGAGGAGACTTGGGTTAATGGAAGAATGCTTGTATTCATTTGACTTGTTCTTCTTCCTACAGCCGGGAAGTACATCTCATGATATACATGTGCTGGATATCCATATCATAGTTCCTACGCTATTGTTGTGGTTATGAGCTATACGGAAGTCACATTGCGGAGTGATGAGGAGTGGATGATGTTGTAATTTGTGATTGACAGTGAGTAGCCTCATACAATACTATACTGTAGGTATGTGGACAGAAAGTATAAGACGAAACCTGTGTCCATTTATTGTGGGTACATCTATGAAACTATATACATGCTCGCCTAACCAGTACACTAGTGATGTATGCTGTGGCCTTGAGCCACACGCGATGCCCTAGCCTCGACTACCTCGTTGTCTCAGATAATAACAGCTATCCATTACATTCCATTCCAAGTCCATGATACCCCAGTAATGGGTTGCCCTCAAGTTCATGTCCTTGAGCTGGCATGAGATACTGACATGCATTAATCTGCACACATCTGGGTTTGGCTTATTATGTTTTGTCTACTCAATACAAATTCCAGGTAGGACATAATACGCCAAAGCTTGCTGACTTGGGTGCCTGAGGCCTTGAACGGTACACATCTTAATAGCCGAAGCCTTTAATTTTCATGTGCAAAGCGATGTGGATAAGGTATCCTCCTCTAAAACTTGAAATACATTAGCAGTGAAGTTTCTTGCCAGGAGGGCAAGACTGAACACCTGTACGCGGTGTCCTCTACGAACATGGGAGTGAAATATTCTCCCAGAGCCAAGTTCAGTCAAATTTCGCAATATGAAAGAAGTAGGCCCACGAGGCAAAAATTCAAATTACTCCACCATGTCAATCTTTCACTCCCAAAGAGTCCGATCCTCAACTAAGCTTCATCAAGTCTACAAGTACGGCCTAGTACATCCTCGTTTCAATGACCACACCTCTCGTCGACTTTCTCTGGCCTCAGCCGGTCACCAAATACACGCCCACGCCGATATTTAT